ACAAAAGAGATTTGTACGGACAATGACCTACTTGAGAAAAACAGACCACACAAACGAAAAATTTGCTATACTGAAAATGTCAAAATTCGAAGATATTAACACCTACTGTTGTACTCTCTCTGTTTACAAATCTATCAATCACTTGCTTGACAATAATTATTTCCAGTTCCGGAATAATCAGAGATATAACTTAAGGCACCCAGAGCTACTAAGACCACCAGCCCATGCGCTTCTCTCTGTCCCAGACCTCCATAAAATATCATGGTGTGAAGGTGTGGAATAACTTACCCATCGCAGCAAAGACTACGCTCCCTTCCTTTAAATCATCTCTTAAAAAATATCTATTGTCTAAGTATTAATATTTCTTGTAACACCTACTATATTTACAGTATCTGCTTTTATTGTACCATCAAAACCGTTTTATCGGAAATTATCATGTAAATAGATAAGTAATTACCATTGCAATAAACATAATTGCCAACTAGACATAATGCTGTCAGCTCTGTCCTCTTGTTCAACCTTATTACTGTACAACCCATGTTGTACTGCTCCCCCATTATACCTATGTTTTTAAATTCCCCTGTAATTTATGTATATATATATATAAATAAATATGAAAATAAACTAAAAAAATAATAATAATTAAATAATATAGATAAATATTGAAGTGATAACCGTGGTAACATTATGAGATGTTCTTATTACCTCCATGCTATTGTACTATTCCAGATGATACTAAATGTTACTTAATACTTCCTTGAGATACATGTTTAGTATATAATTATCAGGTGCCTAAAAGAGAGCTCAGGCTCTCAACTGGCTCAGCCATGTTAATATTTTTATTATTATCCACTCTGTATCTGTGTTTTTCTGGCTAAGTAAACTGTTTCAAATTCAATTCAATTCAATTCAATTCAATTCAATATTACCACCCCTCCCCAGTACTGTCCTACCTACATCTCGTACATATCTAACCTTCTCCCCACATTCAATTTAGAATGGTCGGGGAAGTTATACTCCTCCCTGGTGAACTCTATTCATAACTTCTACAGTCACTACGTTTCACGGCCACACATCAAACTTCGCTCCAAAGCCTATGGATGGACCTTTGATGATCTATCCTCCAGGTGGAAAAGAAGGCGGTGGAGAATGCTATCGCCTCCACCTGTATCAGTCGTCGATGGATGATCTAATTGCCTTCCAACAATGTGTTCGGACTAAATCCTGGCATAATCTCACAGACAAAATTAACCATCAGACGAGCGCAGGAGCCATGTGGCACCTTATCAACGTGGTCAAGAAAATTTCCTTTAGTGCCCTTCACCACAGCTCAGCAGAGTACGAACAAAATCTTATCGAGATATGGCTTATATTCACAAAATAGCCCAAAAGGTGATTGTCGGTGGCATTTTGGGGCAAAAGTTGGTAACATAGCCAGTTATATGTATTTTGCCCTTCTGAATTAAAAAAAAAAAGTTTACGAAACTGAATTTTTAGTGTAAATGCTTCAAAATGACAATTCAAAATGACTGTTACCACAAATATTGTATCAGGAATATCTCTGCGTCTAGGGAATCTAGAAAGTTGATTTTTGTTGCCACACCTACGTTTTCATGGGTGGAGGATATAATTATGACATCTTCATTCATGTATGTGATAATTTTGAACTTTTTAGGGAATCTCCAAATGGTCACTACTACAATATAGTGCATATTTTCGCATAATTATGGTTGTTTGTGAAACATGTATTTTATTGGCCAAGTTATGTTTTGAGGGGTGAAAAATACAACTATAACAATTCTGTATGTTACCGCCACAGTAAGATAAGCTAGAAGAGAAAGATAAAGAGAGGGATAACCATAATGAGATATGAGATAAGAGATATAGTGTAGACAACGAATTTGCTGACCAATCTGCTGAGGTGTTTCAATACGAAAACATATGGCCCTCGCCTCCGGGCTGAGATTGCCCTCGAGGGTAGTCTACTGATTTCTACAGGCCAGACAACACGTTGGTTCAGACCACTAGACCCTAAAACGTTTTGACCGAATTATATGGTACGCGTCAACGTTGAGGGTTTATTTCTCCAGCAACAAACCAATAACGCTCCTATGAGCGTTAACAGTCAAAACGTATACGGGAGGACAGGAAGAACCAAGCAGAATTTATGCAGACTCACGTCAATTCTCGTCGAGGAAGAGACTTGTGGGTCTGGTGACATCAGGAATAAAGACAACCAGAGAAATGGACGATGAACGCTGCTCGCTATGCCGTGGAGATAACCTTCTTCAGATGTGCCGGACATTCCTCAGCATGTCCACAGGAAAGCGAACTTCCCTTGTAAGGGAACAACGTCGCTGCTATGCCTGCCTGGGTCATAACACTGGATAACAGAGTGCAGTCAGAAGATGGTATGTGGTATAGATGGCTGCTCTGGAGTACACTCGAGGCTCCTGCACTTCACGGGAGCTCTGACGAGCAATGACAAGGTGCAACGGGGCGAAGTTGAGAAGGGAGAACACCAGACTAGCCTCCAAAGGGTGAAGAGAGCTACCACAGGGGGCGCCTACCAAATAGACATAGCACCTGACCACAAGCGACCTAGAATGAGTCAACGTAAGGCTATTATGCCACCACCGGAATCGGCATTTAGTAGAGCTAAATCATGGAAGGTCGAAGCCGGTACAAGCACCATGGGGAAAATAAATCCGCATAAATGGGTCAGGGAAAACCATAACCAACAATGGAATTGATGATCGGCGTGAAGAACCCAACGATTGCGAGTTGTGACTACAAAGTTCCAGCAGAGTCGCACTTCCAGTAGTGAAAGTCAGGGTGGAAGAAAAGAACCTAGAGGCGAAAGAAGCAGTAGTCACCGGAGCTCTCTTGGATTCAGGCAGCAACCGATCATCTTGCACGCGTAGTCCAGCTTACCGGCTGCAGGCAGAGGGAAGGCCAGTTTCCCTCTCCATTGGCACAATCATGAAAGAAAGTAATAGTGTAAACACCGAAGAAATCAGTGTGAGAGTGGCTAGCGTAGGAGTCAGAAAGAGCCGATCCCC